ATGGAAGAATTATTTAATTGTAAATGAGGAATAATAGTTGAATAATAATTAGTATCTCTTAAGTTTTTTGATATTTTTGTTGAAGTGTAAATTATTTTAGCTTTTTTCTTATTATTTTTAATATATCCAAATGGTTTCCCATAAATTTTACAAATATGGCAACAATAATATCCACCATGACCTTTTATACAAAATATTTTAGATCTAGCAGGTAAATCAAATATTCCTCTAATAACATAAAATTTAGATAGTTGATTATTAATTTGAATTCCATTATGAATATTTTGTATTTCAGTTACAACAGAATCCCATAATTCAAAAGAATCAATTAATTCATTAGGAACTAAATGAGTTAGTAAAATATTTTGAATTTGGAATCTTTGGGTACTTTTTAATTCATTAAAAGAATACATTATTGGCCATATTGAAAATTGGGAGGTTTTAAAAATTTTTACACCATCTGAATTTAATGTTAATGTAAAGTGTTTTCCAGTTTTGGTTAAATAATTAAATTGTTTATAATGATTTCCTTTATATATATCATCAATTAATAATTCATTAGTATTATTTGATTGGATTAAATTAGAATAATATTTTAGTTTTTCAGTAAAATTCTTAGATTTAAATTTTGATTTAATTAAATCTTCTAATTTTCTTTCAAAAAAGTATTTCTTTTTATCTAATTGTTTTTTACATTTACATTCACTATAACAATTATTTGTTACAAATTTACATGTTGTACAATAATACATTTTATAAAAAGGAATATCAATATCAATATTTTCAAAAAAACTTTTGAAATTGTTTGCATGTTCTAAATTATATTCTTTAATAATATTATAAATAGTATTAATTAATGATGTAGTCATGTTTTTAGAAAGTTTTGACGTAACAATTAAATTTAATGTATCCATTATTTTGCTATCTAAAGATTCTTTTGGTAAAGAAGGAAGTTGTTTGTTAATATAATTATTAATTACAATAGAATCAGTTAGATTATTTAAATCATTTTCAGAAAATTCATTTTCTTCATCACTATTATCTGAATCTGAATTTGATAATTCAGATTCAGATATACTAATTTCACTTTCACAATCACTTTCAATTGAATAATAATTATCATCATCACAATATTCATCCTCACTATGTTGATGACAATTACAATTAGTATGATAATTATTACATCCATAATTTTCATTATGTCCTAAATTATCCAATCCACCAATTTCTAAATTATTAATTTGTTGTGAAGGATTATAATGTTCATAAAGTGCCTCAAATATTGGATCCGCAATATCAATTTCATTATGTTTTCTTTTAGACATTTTATTGAATATAAAAAATGGAAGAATTAAGTAATACAAATTCTACAACTTCAAAATTTCTTTCTTCTTTCCGTAATCATTTTGATGATGAAAAAGACATGAAGGATTTGTATGAATTTATCAAAAATTATACTATTAGTACAACTATATCTAATACTAAGAAGAAGTATATATTTTGTATTTTATTATTATTAAGTTGGAAGTATGATATTACTATTGATTATTTAAATGATAATTACAATAACCTTAGAACTGCTAATTTGAAAAAGGAATATAATAAACATTCCGAAAAACATGATGATATTAAAAATTATATTAAGGATAATATTGAAATCTTAAAATTAATTCCTTCTGATGAACAAAAAATAGATAATATTGAATTAATTAAAGAAGATAGTATCTATAATTATGTAATTTCTATGAATTATTTAATTCAAACTATATTGATAGTAGGAAAAGTTAAAATAATATCTTCTAATCCTTTACAAGGTGAAATTATTAATCTTAATAATTGTTTTAAATTTAATAATATTAAAGTAAATGATATCATTAATTTAACATTAAATAATATTTATATTGATAACACCGACTTGTCTTTTACGGAACCAACAAATACTACAACTAATTTTACTCCTTTCAAAAAAACATTAATATCTCCTATTACACCAATACAATTTAATAAGCGTCCTTTAAATAATTTAAGTGATGATGAAGATGAGAATAATAAAGATAAAAATGTAAATGTTAATGATAATAGTGGTAGTTTTAAAGATAAAAATGATGATATTGATGATAATGGATTAATTGATGATTTTGAAAGCTATGAAAAGGAAAAACAAATAATTAAAATATTAAAAGAAGATGATGAATTATTAGTTTCTGACATTTCTAAATTATCTACTATTCAATTACAATCTAATTTAAATGAATTAAGAAAATGTTATGAATTACTTTTAAAAAAATATAAAGAAGATGCATTTGATATTATTGATATGCATAGAACAATGCAAAAAATGGTTTATAGAAGAAATAATGAAGTGCAAAAATTAGAAGAAAACGAAATTGAATATTATTATTTTAATATTTATCAAAAAAATTTAGAAGAAGTAGGATTGAATTTAAAATTTAAAAGTGAAGTTAAAAAGTTAAAATTATCTGAAAGATTATATTATTTATTTATAGAAACTGATAAAAAAAAGAATGTTACAGAGAGATTAAATTTACTTGCACAAGAATTGTTTAAAAAAGATAAATTTAATTTAAATGAAAAAGAAAAACATGAATATATTTACATACTAATGAGTTGTAATTATTATTTAACAGAATCTCATTTATCTAAAGAAGATTATGAAAAATTTAAAGATTCAAATTATCTTGAAAAAAATATTACAATTTGGGAAAATCATTATGCTAAAATTAAAAATTCTTTAAAAAATTCTAAAACAAATAACAAAACTAATCCAATTGATTTAACAAAGAAAACAAAAAGATTAAGTAGTGTTATTAATAATGATAACCAAAGACCAAACAAAATTACCAAAACAAAATCTGAAATTGAAATTAATATATTATTTGAAAATTTAGAAATGTTTATTATTAAAATTAATACTTTATTTGATATTTCAATAAAGTTATTAACAATTGAAAAGTGGAATATTGAAGATAATAATAATGGAATTTGTTTAGTTAAATTAAACAATATATATTTTACATCTTTTATTACAAACAATCATATTTATATTTATGATTTGGAAGATTCAAATATGATTACTCAATCATTTTCTAAAAGAATTAAATTTATTAAATTGAATAACACAACATCTAAACAATCTCTTTTTTATAATTTAAGAAATTGTTTACTAATTAGTTTATTATTAAAATCTAACTCATCAAAACAAACAAGAAAAACTTTAAAAAAAAATAATAATTGGATTTGCAATACCGAAAAACAAAATACTTTAGAACTTATAATTAATGATGGAAATATGGATATTGATTTAATGAATATTGAAACTATTTTTGAAATTACAAAATAATGGAATAACCATTTGAAATTGAATTAACGGGAATAATAAAAAAACAATTAAAAAACATAAGAATAATAAAACACTATGCAAGGCCTCTTACGTGCTTAGCAGGGACCTATGGCGCTTGGAGAGTACTATTCATGGCGGCTGACATATTTGGAGGGTAGTTCTTGGCAGTTTCTATATTTGAATTGAATAGTACTCAACGTCGGTGGGGCATTACGTCTACTAGACGGACAGCTCCCCTCTTAGACTCGGTAGTGATCCCAATAGTCCCGCTCAATTCTTCATACACCTGAAATCGCTGTAAAGTGAGGTGCTGCCTGACGCAATTGGTGTTCCAAACCAACATGAAGGTCAACCGCAGTGAGTGTTATCCAAGAACTAACATACAGCAGGGCTGGTGTTAAAGATAAAAAATGAAAAAATGAATTGATATTGTGGTTATTTTTTACTCATTATTTATTACATCAGTTACATATTTTCGCGCCAATTATTTCCTCAATTATTTCAAAAAAAACAACACGATTACATTATGAATTTATGAGGTAGTTAATTACATTATTAACATTATTAACATTCAATATACTATCAACATATTTTAATACTATTTCGGAATAAATATAACTACTATCATCGATCCTATCATCACATAATAGTAAGTAACAACCTACCATAATTAAATACATTCATCTTATTTGAAAACAATTACTATTATTACTTTATAATAATAAGAACAATATTAAATAACTATAAGTATTTAAATAATTATACTATCATATCTTAATAATTTATTATACTGTCGGAGCCATTTATGTTTTACACTACTATCATTAGTATTAATAGTAAGTAACAATCATTAACAACAATACTTTTAAATATAATTATAAATAATATTAGAATATAATTGATTAATTATTAAATAAGTGTATTATTAATATATTAAATAATTATGATACTAATAGTATATCTATTAAAACAATCTAACTAGTAAGTATTTATTTAATAATTACCTGTATCATTAAATATTAGTATCCGAATAATACAAAGCTGTTATTAAATATCAATTTATCATTAAACCAACAACAGTAGGTATTAATTTATTATGTCTACTGTATTAATCAAAAATAATTTTAATCAATTATCCATGTCTTAACTTACCTTCAAGCTAATTGGATACTCATATAGAGGCGGTATATAATAATTGCATTTGTCATAGTTGACCAAATTTTCAACTTGTAAAAATTTTAATAAATTTAAGTCTTTCTTTAAATCAAAAAAACCTTTAATAAACCGATTTAATTAACTCCATAAATCAGGCTTTAAATAAAACCACACAACCAAGATTTAATTAAATCCATAAAGCAGGCTTCAAATAAAACCAAAAAACACCTATTAACTCGCAAAGATTTATACGAACGTTTTTTTTTTCGGCTTTAATCAAAACAAAAAAATCTGCAATAAAGTCAAGCAAATTTTTGACTTCAAGATTTATTTAAATCCAAAAAACTCAGATTAAAAGCAGATTAAAAAGTTGCAGGGAACAAAAAGGATCATCCTCAATAACTACCACAACAATATTGAAAAAAATGATTGTACTTCATCCGACACATTATTGCCTCCCTTCTCATGAACAATCTTTTCATCAGCACTCAAAGATAAAGTCCGAGAGTAGGAGCAGTTATCATGTTGGTAGGATTTTGCTCTATTTTCTAATTTCCATCTTGGTGATTGTGGTGCTGTATGGTGCCTTGGTATTATTCGATACAATGTATATCAAGTTTGATGAGTACAGGTGTGAGATTGCAAATGTTGAGAGGAAGGAATCTATTCAGAGTTTGATTCGGCAGGATTTGGAACATTTTGCTTATCCTATTCAAGTGAATATGACTAATGTTGGGAATAATATTGAATGGACATCTTTTTGTAAATATAAGAAATTGAATGAAACTTTGAAATGTGCTCAAAGTTTATTGGAATCAAGGTCATTTGCTTGTTATGCCAATTCAAAGAAGGTACAATCCACTAGCTCAATCCAAACATCAAGTGATATTTCCCTAAAGTTATTGGATGAATTTAACTATGATGAATTGTATTGGAGTTTAATAGTATGTGCAGGAGTAATATTCGGATTATCAATTACACTTTTTCTTGTGAACAAATATGCTTCAAGTCAAAAAGTCCAAGAATTTATCAGATTTGGAAAGGGAATGAAATGTTTAGGAGAAGATACCAATAATATTGCAATAATATCAGAACACAAGTCATCTGAACAACTGGTTATCAATACTGAACATCCTTCTTTGAATATTCTATCGGCCACTTTTCTTCCCGAAGAAGAACTATTCACCTATGAAGCCATTCGTAGAAATTCATTCAGATATTTATTGGTTTCCTCTATTATTACTATTGTATTGCTGATAGGTTGCATTATTGCTGGAATTGTAATGTTTGTGTATTCGTATGCCTCAACTGATGATCAGACAATTGTTTCATGGATGGCTCCAATTCTAATTCTTCCAGTTTTAT